GTGTGTGTGTGTGTGTGTGCGCGCTGTGAGGAGGTGTTTCCAGTCACTGATGTTGGAAGTCAGAGGAGTTTCCTCTCCTCCATTGGCTGCTGCTGCTGCTCTGTTTTCTCCTCCTCTGTTTGTCTGTGGTCCACCAGGGGCACTTCTCTGTTTATCTGATCTCAGTGAGCATCACAGATTGTCGTAATTGGCCGTAGAGCACACAGGCCGCATTGTGCACACATCCACGTTAATAACTGCAGGAATCAAGAGGAAGAAACAGAGGACAATGTTGTTTTATCAGTTCTTCCTGTTGCCGAGAGGAAACAACTCTTGGATGGCTCTAAAAGAGGAGAACTTAATAGGGAGTAATGCAATAAAACCCAAGCCCATGCAGTGGTAGTTAATCTCCTAAATCCCCCATTAAATCTTTGGCGAGGATGGATTTAGGGAAAGGCAGGAGGACAACACGTGGACGCCCAGCGCCCCATCAGGAGCTAATAAATTTTTAAAAAGTAAGAAGGGAAAAAAAAAAGCCCCCTCTCAATCTGGGGTCCTGCGTCTGAGATTAATTCATCCAGACCAGTTTAATCCCCCCGGTGCCCAATCTGGAGCTGCTTCCTGCGGGACGCTGCGGGTCAGAGAGCTTCATCAAGAACAAATGCCGAAGTCCAATTTAAAGAAAGGGGGGGGGTGGGGGGGTGGGGGGGTGGAACTGGCTTGTTTAAATAATGAAAAAGACGGAGACAAACATTTTACAGAACAAAAGCCTGCTGATGGTTTTCTGTCCCCGAGGGTTCGGAAACTCGTTTAACCAGTGAGGCTCCAGATCTAGAAAGAAAGAAAACTAAACAAGCTATAACAGGAAGTAAAAGGTGTCGACAGGAGGATTTACTGTGATTCTCTCGTTATATGATTAAGTACAATATATATACTGCTTTCAGATGTCTCCAGACGTTTACCTGAATTTATCTGGAGGGGCTGTGTGTGAGAAGGAAAATGTTCTCGGCTGCAGACACTCTCTGCGGTGATAACGGCCGGTGTGGATGAGCTGTAAACAAAACTCTGACGTGAATGTTCCTCACACGTTCCTGTTGTTGTTAACGAGTCCGACCCGGACGATCTGCTGCTGCTTCACACGTGGAAGAGGACAAATCTGGAGCTCACGTCCAAAAACAGCGGAAAAGCAAATATTTGCTGGTTCCAGCTTCTAAAATGTGACAAACTGCTGCTTCTCCGTGTTACCAAGTGATTTGGAGACGTGTCCTTGAGCTCATTCACATTTTTCTACACTAATAGATTCATCAAAAATATAATTAACAGGGACGAATAACGAAAATCAGGAGCTCTGCCACACATTCATTCACTCAGCTCTTATGGACAACCACTAAATCTTGTTTTGCTTCGGCTCCATATCCCATTTTCTAGATATTTTCCAGAGCTCGTGTCTGAAGGATGGAGAGTTTATCAGTTTCCATTTTGTCCTCTTCAAACCTGCTGCATCCTCACACCCACAGAAATATAAAAGGCCCAACACTGGGGGAAAAAACCACACACACACACACACACACACATGTGGTTCGGCTCTTAAATGAGAACATTCTTCAGGACCTTCTGGAAACTGAATTAACTTGAAAAAATAAAAATAAAAAGAAGAGTGAAATATTTGACCCTTTTGAATTCCATGACGTCCTAAAAAAACTTCAGCAAAGATAATAAATATGTCAGGATGGATTTTGGTGGAAACTGTGCGTGCTGGTTTTCTAAGTATTTGGACAGCGACGCGTCTCCAGAGCACTGGACATGAAATGAAACTTTAAAAATAAGTTTTCAGGGTGTTCACGTGTGTTGGTCCCTAAAGTGCCAAACAAATCAACTTATAATTTCCCTGCTGTTCTCCTACATGGGCTCGCTACGTGTTATCAGTGTGTCACAGCGTGGAGGGGAAACATTATCTTATTCTCTGCACTTAAGGGGAATTTTAAGGGGAAATCCGAGTGACTGTTGAACTTGTCCTTGTTTTCTGTCGGTTCTGTCTGAGTGAGCTGTGATGAGGGCTGCAGATGACGCCATGTTGACGACAGTGATGTGTCAGTGCAGCTGAAGATTGTCGGTGTTTAGGAAAGAGGCAGTGATGGGCTGCTGGGGGGGGGGGCAGCAAGCAGCGTCATGTGAGCTAAATTAGCTCAGCTCGCTGTTTACGCAATGGATGTATGCTGGAGCCACTGTGGGACGTCAGGGCTGTGTGTGTTTGTGAGTGTGTGGTGGGGGTACACACACACACACACACACACACACACACACACACACACACACACACACACACACACACACACTCAGAGACACTCACAGCCTTTGTAGCCTCACAGTTCTGTAAATACGTTCGGCTCAAACAGCAGCAGGAGCAGTTTCTGCACACGTGCTTGGATTTATTATTCCAGAGAATATTGTTATTGGATTCTTACTCTTTTGCCCCTTTTGGTCAAAAATAAGGATTTATTTATTTATTTTTTTTTTACATTTCTCTCTGGGACACTGATTTCAAAGTTGGGAGTGAAAACTGGACCCGGAGTTGCTTTTTTTGGCGTGATGGAGAATGTTTGGCGTGACGGCAGCGTGCCTCCGTGTTAATTGCCAGGTTGATGAAAGTGGGTGGAAGTCGGGGAGTGAGTCACGGGCGATGTGACTGCGTGACCGAGGACGACTGCCGGGCGAGCGACAAACAAGGTCTGTTGTTGTGAAGATGACGCTGATTTACACATATCGCTGAGCTGAATGGTCATTATTCATTATTCAGGAAATAAAGGAGTTTTAAATCACAAGAGCTGTAACCAGGGAAGAAAGAAGGAAAGGAGGTCATGATCAAATTAATAATAATTACGATGTATTATATTATATTCTTATGGAAAAGCCACGATATCTAATTATCTCTCAATATTTAATGATTGAGAGGAGAAGACACGTCGGGATGTGTTTGATCCAGCTCTGTCAGTGACTGATGATTGATTGATTGATTGATTGATTGATTGATCACGTCACACGTCTGCCGCAAAGTGATTAATCAGAGCGGCACGTCACAGTGTCGGGAAAAACAAAACTTCTGAGTCTTTTTTTTTGGGGGGGAAAAAGTGGAGACAAACAAGTCAATCAGTCACAATCAGGTGTTGATTTGTGAGGAGAACTCCCACCTCTGCTCTGCAGCCAGACGCCTCGGAGCTAAACTTAGTTTGATAATCACCAGTCTCTTCCTCCACAGTCTGCTGCGAGTAGAAGCTGCTTCTGTTCAGCACAAACAGAGAAAGGAATTTAATGTTGACTGTCTTATTTTCATTGAAACAACATTCAAACTTTTGTATTTCCTTTTTTTTTTTTTTTACAGTTATTTATAATAAAGTTTATGGTAAATCTGTAAACTATCAAGCCTCAGTTACATTTCATATACATCAGTTGATTTATCGGTATCGTAATTCTTTGACTTCCTAATATCGAGCCGATTGTAAAATTATGTTATTTGGTTTGTAAACGATGACTTCGTCTTGAGGTGACGCTCATGTAATTGTCCTGATTACTCCTACACCACCTTTTCTTGTATGCGGCATGAATCCATACTCACCGCCCTGCGGGTGTGTATCGCTCCCCGCCTGAATCACACTAATTCTTCTGTTGTCTTGCTCGCGTCATTCCAGTTTTACTACTTAGTCGGACTCTGATTGATTATCTGATGGAGTTTTGCTGCGGTATGAAAATACATGCAGCCGGCAGACGATACGCCCGAGCAGAAATTACAAGACGAGGCTGGAGAGGCAGAGGCTGATCTGCAATCTGACACAATAACTCCTCGCAGGATTTAATGATGCAGGAAATGAGTGTGAGTGTTGTTTTGTTTGTTTGGTTCTTCTCACTCTGACTCTGCTCCTGAGATCAGCTGTGTTTTCCCTCAGTCGTGTGGTTAACTCTCTGGAGGTGGCGTTCTCTTCTTCTGACTCACTCACACTTTTTGCTCATTCTAAAGAAACTGGAAATGCAAATGCATCACTTCCCGTCCGCCGGACGATTTGTCAAGTCAATTCTGACTTAGCAGCCTGGTGATCACACAGGTTTGAGATCGAATGAAAAAGATCAGCACATTAATTTGATGGATGTTTCCTGCTCCAGGGGCGTCGAGGGTCGTGAGAGATGCAGTGAGGAAGAGCTGAAACCCCTCAGGTCGGAAGTTGACACTCACCAGAAAGAGGAGGATGCAGTCCGGCGCTCAGGAGCAGCCGCTGGCGCTCACCTCGGTCAGGCCGTTCAATTCCACCAATGGGAAGGAAGAGGAGGTGAATACAGGTGAGGCCCTGGAGAAACACGGAGAGAGATTGAAATGAAAATCCGCCTCAGAGCGGGAGATGTTTTTAAAAACTGCATACTGTTTAGTCTGTGTCTCTAAATCAAGCTGCTTCACTGTTTCTCTGGTTGTTAAAGTTTTATCTTGAGTTTCAAAGTGTTCGTAAATGTCGATGTGTACATGAATATTTACAAAAACTTGACCAAAGTTTTAAAAGCAAGTACTTTTACTCAAGTCGAAAAGTTAGTGTGGTACTTTTACTTGATTTTTGTCGATTTACCTGACTTTTACTTCAGCGAAATGTTTGAGCACAAATTGTGTTTATTCCGTGAGTGTGTATCTGACACCGTTTAAATGAGAAGAAAGGGTGCGTGTGTGTGTGTGTTTGTGTGTGTGTGTGTGCGTGTGTGTGTGTGCATGTGTGTGCGTGTGTGTGTTCGAGCAGACCTACAATCTGTTTGAAACGAAATCCATCAAAACATCAGCGTCTCACTGCTCCCTCTCATTAGACGGAGCAGGGTCAGTCCTGCATAATTCACACAGGGACGGACGCACGTACCCACACACACACACACACACACACACACACACACACACACACACACACACGCACGCACGCACGCACGCACGCGCACACACACACATAATGGGGAAAAAACCTGACACTCTGAATGTGTCAAAGTGAACAACTGTCACCTTCAGCAGAAACATCAGCAGAATTCTGTAAGATGGCGACTAACGACACGCCCACGTTCCCCTCCTGTGAAGTTTGTGTATTTCTACATGTAGAGAAAAAAAAACTGCTGCGTGTTGAATCGTCGCTCTGTGTTTCCGTGGCGATGACTGACGGGAGGTGTCGTTCAATGCAGATGCTGAGTCCGTGGAGGAAGAGGCCGAGTTTAACTGGGAGGAGTTCATGGAGGAGACGGGGGCCAACGCCGCCCCACACACCACCTTCAAACATGTGAGTCACAGCCCCCCCCGCCCCCCCCGCCCGCCATGCTGATCCTTTAAACACAGCCTCTCAGGTATAAGTGCCACATGCAGAAATCCTTTAACGACGTATTGAAGAGAGCCGGGGCTCAGCGTCGCTGCGGTGATGCTGCTCAACCGAGCGATTTCATTTGGCCGCGTCCGCTCATGACGCACACGTCTTCACACAACCTCCGCTGCCTTTTGTAAACACAGTTGTTGGTGATTACTGAAGCCCCAAAGAAAATACACTGAACACAAACAAGCCTTTCTTAAAGGAAGGTCATTAAAATTATTAAGTGAAGGGTTGAAATAACTGAGGTTTCTGAGGCTCGTATTTTAATTTCAATGTCATTTCTATCTCCTTACTCTCAAATAAGATCGGAATCGTTCATAATAAAAGGATTATATTCTCAGTCACAATACGAGGCGAGAGCATTTAAACCGAAGGGTTTGGTATCGTTTGGACTTTTCTCCCTTCTTTTAAAATGGTACCGAAGCCAGAACCGACCTTATTCTAATAAAAAGCAAAAACAGCTTTTTAATTGCGAAAGGCAATTTGGAAATTGAAATTGAACACATACGTTTAAAGTATATTAACTTAGAGAAATAATGCAAAACCATAAACAAATGTACCGGATGAAATCCCACATTACATAAAACCTTTAACACTAAACAACAGATTCAGTGCTGAAAATAGCAAAACGCGTCAGCGACGTCCACAACGAAGTTAAACAGGAAGCGTCAAGTTTGTCGTCTCGTTCGTCATCTTGTTGTCGACTCGAGTTTGAGGACCAACACTTCCAGAGCCAGGTTAGAGATGTCAACCAAGACATGTGCGTCCCCGTTTATTTTGTTTGCTCCAAAGCGACAAAGAGAGATTTTCTACAACTAAACAACCAAGCGTAGGCAACACGCACACGTCCAGTGAACGATCTTGTAATATTTAGTGTTTTGATGGACGGAGGTTCTGTCTGAGGGTTTGCCGAAGCTTGGACGCGTCTGCTGGTGATTTCTGAAGAAGCTCGTGCCACCGTTCCAGCTCCATCACTCGGAGCGACGAGCGTAAGGAGGGCGAGATTGGAATATGTGGGTTTTTACACGCGAGGCCCTGATGTCGGACAGACCGCCGCGATTTGGGGTCCCCTGGGAAGCTAAATTGCCTCGTTGGTAAGTGGATTGAGTAACTGGGAAACAGACCATGAATTCCCCGGAAAAATGTGATTCAGTAAAGTGCCGCCCTCGTCCCTCCCTCTCTCCCTCTCTCTCTCTCTGCCTGGACAAATTGAAACAGTGATTTCTCTTGGGCTTACACACAGACACACACACACACACACAGACACACACACACACACAGACACACACACACGCACGCAGAAACAACTCTCTTACATAAGCCAACCAGAGTGATACAGCACGTCTGCATTGTTGCAGCAGGAAGTCACAGGGCCATTTGTATTGTGTTTATTTCTAAGATGTTGGCTTTTTCCATTCACTCGTGAGTGTGTGCGTTTGTGCGAGCGTTGAATGCGAACATCCTGTCTGGCTTGTAGTGTTCTCAAGAACTGTGCTGGCAGCCTGTGGCTACGGCGGAGACGCATTATGCCGTGCTGCGTTCACTGTCGCGCAGATTAACTGCTCTCTCGGCACCAAAGGCGGACAAAGAGAAAGTTGTGTTAAACACTTTTCTGGAAGTCTCCAACTTCGTAAATTCTTTTTTTTCTTTGTGGCGCTGTGAAGAAGTTCCTGTAGCTGCTGTGAGAAGGACTTTTTTTATTTGTTAAAAATGAATCACCCCCCCCTGAGTCATTCAGTCCTGTGACTGAAACTAAAATCAATTTCCGTTATTGTTTTTGATTAATTGTTTTTAAAAGTTCGGATGAATACTCGTCAGTGTTAAAGAGCCGTAGTCACAGATTCAATTTACAATCACCTGAGAGGCTGCAGCCAGAAAATATTAAATCTAAATATGAATCAGTGAATTAACACATTTTCATTTCTCTGTGGTCGTTCAGTGAAATTATAGAAAGAGATTTTAAACATCCCTGAAGCAAAGACCTGAATATTATTTAAAATATGTTTATATCCAACAGGAATATAAACATATATATATAAACATAGGAACCTATATATCTAGGTTTTCTAACAGATGTTGCCACGGTAACATCAATCAGTTGCGCTGTCCATCTCTTATTCATTTGAAGTTGAAAACCAGTTCGACTTCGATGATGTCATCAGCGTCACTCTCTCCCTCCGGAGCCAACGGAGACGTTTAACACCTGTGAATTACTTCCCATTAACTGAAGCCCGTGTGTGAAACTACTTCCCCTTTGCACCTCACGTCCATTTCCTCTAAAGTAAAAATAAATTCAGAAGCCACCGGCGCTCATCCCCGACGCCCTGACATCAGACTTTCACTGCTGAAGCCGTCGTCCCTGAAGGTTTTGATACGTTCTGACTGGTTCTCCCCTGAGATCCACACAGAGACGGTAGAACAGAGTCCAACAGGGCGAGACAGGCTGTAAACAAACCCTGAGTTTGACCAGCCTGTTTGAAAGAGGAACTGAAGGCAAATATTAAACTTGTTACTCAATCTGCTGATTAACATCCTTCCTGGTTCACCTTTGACCTTTGGTGCTTACTCAGGTCTATACGTGTGTGTTGGTAAATGAATCCAACCCTTTTTAAATCAGATTTGACTCCCCGGAGTTTTTGATTAATAATCTTACTGAGTAAAATATGAATATTCCTTTAACGGGGTGCTGTCGTGTATCTCGGACCCTCCCAGGTGGAGATCAGCCTGCAGAGCAGCTTCCAGCCCGGCATGAAGCTGGAAGTGGCCAATAAGAGCAGCCCGGACACGTACTGGGTGGCCACCATCATCACCACATGTGGCCAGCTGCTGCTGCTGCGCTTCAGTGGCTACGGAGACGACCGCAAGGCCGACTTCTGGTGTGATGTCATGACGGCCGAGCTGCACCCGGTGGGCTGGTGCGCCCTGAACAACAAGACCCTCATGCCCCCGGAAGGTAGGAAGACACGCCGGGATCTAACACTCACCTCTACATATTATATTATGGGATATTTTTTCACCATCTCGTCGTTTGTGGTCAGTCTACCTTGGATGGTTAAAATATTATGGCTGATAATCAAAACCTCTATTCCAAAAATTAGATTTTTTGTTATTTTATTCATTATTTTCCATGAATTTATCAGCTTTTGTGTTATTTAATTTTTTGCAAGAATTATTTTAAAATGTCTTTTTGAATTTTCTCGTTGGAACAGTAGCGTGTTCACTGTAAATGGGTGAAAAGTGTCTCTTACATGTGAAGGGGTCTAGAATGTTTTATTTCTTTCAGTGAGGGAGCGTGTGTCTTTGTCTTGTGTCGAGAAAACAATTGTGCAGTTGAATAGTTTAGAAATTTACATGTTTGCTTTTTGATACTGAATGAGAAGAAAGGTTTCACACACACACACACACACACACACACGCAACACAGACACGCACACGTGAACACCTCCCTTTCAATAGCTGCTTTAAATAAACTGAGTAGAAAGACAGGTTTCCCTTCAAGTGCTTCGACGTCTCAGCCGACATCACTCTCACTCAGTGTCGTTAAAACAGGAGCAGGTTGTTCACTCTCCAAAACGCCACCACTAAACTTTTCCCAGCAGCCTCTCTGCTCTTGCAGTGACCCCCCCCCCCCCCCCATTATGTAATCATCACTCAGCGCCCATCTCTTCAACCAACTTACACATTTTTCTTTTTGCCGGTTCGTTCTCTCGAGGTCCCTGCATCAAACACACTCGGTTCACAGACGGGGCCCCAAAAAAAGTTCTTAGTTGCTTCATTTCAAGGCTTTGCATCATTTCATGCACGAGTGTGTGTGTGTGTGTGTCTGTGCGGTTGAGTCGGCAGGAACATGAGTGTGTATTATTTTTCAGTGCGTGCACCTGTGTTACCTACAGTCACCTGTTTGTGTTTGTTTCCTTTTCGTTTGTCTCTCAGATAACATTTACCTAAGAAAAGGTAAGCAGCTCTAACGGTGCCTCTGACTAACTCGCCTGCCCGGCTCACTAGTGGCTGACAGCAAATCAACACTGCGTCCACGTTAGAGCTGCATGTGCAGTCAGTGTGCTTCCTCCTCCTCCTCTTCCTCCTCTTCCTCTTTTAATCTCTACAGGAAGTGACCTCACAGCTCAAGCTTCGCCTCTTTTTGCATGTGACTCCTTTTCTAGCCGAGTGCTTAGTGTCTTAGCGGAGCGATCACACACACACACACACACACACACACACACGCACACACGCACACACACACACACACACACACGCACACACACACACACACACACACACACGCACACGCACACGCTCTGCCTGCTGCGCTCGTATGATAAAGCCTAAAAAAGCAGCAGAGATGTGACGCTCTGATAGAAACACTCTAACAAACACTGTCACAGAAAAAAGAAGTCACTTTTCCGCGATTCGGAGAAGTTTAACAGCAGCTGAGAGTAAAATGTGTTCTCACCAGATAAGATCACTTATCTTGCGTCACTAAAGTAAAAACATGAAGAGGAAGAAATTATTCGTCTCATATCAGTTCTTCAGTTTCTGAGGACGGAAAAAAACATTAATATTAGTTTTTTATCCATTCTGTCTTGACTGACTGACGCCTGACACCATTTTATCGATGTGTTCTTGTTTCCTGATATCAGGATTGTTCTTTTACAGTCTTTAAAAATGAGATGTTGCTTCTCCTCCTCTTTTCTTGTTTTGTGTTGTTTTTATTTTGTCGGGTTTGGACGTGTGGGTTTGTGTGAGGATGCTTGTGAAGTAATGACATCGGGCCCTTCTCAGACGTCTTTATCAAACTTTATTTGTTCCTGCAGAGTAACGGTCTCACCGCAGGGTCCATTAGTGGCCGTTCAAACCATCTTGATACAGTTTCCCACAATCCTCCTCTGCAGATAGAAGTTTTTCCCGGTCCTCTCTGAATAATATATGTCCGTTTGTTCTCTGAGGATTTAACAGATCTTTAGAATCTTTCAAAAGTTTTGAAGTTAAGATGTAAAGTTCGAGGTGCAACAAAAATCTCAAAATCAGACTTTGTCCAATCGAAACTCAACTAAACCCCTCGTCAGACGTGTGCACTCACTCGTGAAACGCACAAACACACACAAACATGCATTCCCTCTTTCTCAGCTCCACTTATAAATGCTTTTCATGCTAATTGAAGCTTCTGTGCTCATTGATTAGCGTCTCTGGTGGTGAGTCAGCGGAGTCTTCGGACCATATTGAAGAAAAGAAATCCAAGACTACGAGAATAACGACGTCATATTACACGAAGGACGTTCTCGTAATATTGAGACTTTTTTCTTCTCTCGTAATATTATACAATTGTTCCTTTAATCTCAGATTTCTTTTTCGATGTGGCCGTCGTGTGATAAATATTGATTTGGAAACAAATATTTTATACAAATACACGTACAATCCGACGCACAGCTCATGTAAAACAATGTTGAGTGTGAGACAGGCTCCCCCCCCCCCCCCCCCCCCCCCTTCCTGCCTGTAACCTCTAGATTTGCATCACTTCACTGCGGCTGTGTGTTTGTGTTGTGTCACACACTCACACCTTTTTTCTTTTACACTCACCGCCAACTTTACGCTAAGATAACTCATATTTACACAAGCTGCTGTAATAATCCCTGTCATGAGCACGGCCATAAAAATGTTAACAAAACGAACTGTGCAGGCGTAGGTTCGAGACACACACACACACAAAGCGAGGCGTCTCTCAGTAAACACACTTAAACGCACCGTGTGGTATTTTACATGAGCTGCACTCATTACGCTCACGGCCTATTTGGGAAGCCTGTCAGTTGAAATGGAGTTAGATTAAAATGGCTCTCTACCCTGGTGTATTTTCGTAATGACGGGATGAAGCGGACGGACGGGGAATCGAGCGTAATTTGTTCCCATTAGCTCTGATTAGAATCTGTTGCACCGCTGTGATTGTGCACAGAAACACAGAGACGCTTTTTCTTCCTTTAATTACGACATTGATTGTCTGAAGTGAAGCTTTTAAATAAACCGGGGATTGTTTACAGAGACGTGGAGTCGGACCGAGATGCAAATATTTCATATGTTTCTTATTTATTTGCTAGATATTTGCTTCAGCGGCAGGTTTTAGTGCAGTGAGAGAACGGGGGAGAGGGGTGAGGTTGGCACAGGGATGGTGAAGGAGAAAGCAGGAGGAGGGTGTGTGCGTGTGTGTGTGTGTGTGTGTGTGTTTGTGTGTTTTAAAGATCTCCTCCCTCAAGGTTAATTATGCACTTATTGTTATGTGAAAGTCGGCTTTCACCTCTGCATGTCTGCTGCCTTCTGGATGGAAATGAAGAAAAATAGAATTTATTTATAAATGCAGCACTGCAGCGTAATTAAACTGCAAGCTGTGTGTGTGTGTGTGTGTGTGTGTGTGTGTGTGTGTGTGTGTGTGTGTGTGTGTGAGAGGAAGGGGGAAAGGTTGGAGTTTGCATGTTTCAGTTTCTCCTGCTGCTGCACCACTCTAAATGGCTCCATGAATAACCTCGACAGGATCGGTAAAAATAGTTTATCTATTCCTGCACGGCCCAACATCAGCACGGCATAGTGTTTGTTCATGTGTGTGTGTGTGTGTGTGTGTGTGTGTGTGTGTGTGTGTGTGTGTGTGTGTGTGTGCAGCCATGAGGAGAGAAAATAGTCGGAGAGGGCGAGCGTCTGGGCCGCGGAGACGTTTGCGTTACAGTCACAGGAAAAACCGCCTCTCTCACGCTGACACATCGATTTATTTGCCAGAAAATTCCACAGTTGTTGATTTGATTCAGACGAGACCTCGAGGGGATTCATTGATCCGCTCTCATGAGTCAATGACATCTTTAAAATCCTCTGCAGAGCAAACCGTCAGTTATATTTACTCAGATCTATGATTTGAAAAAAAAAAATTGAATGAGGAAGTTTAGAGAACGTGTCGTAGTTTGTTCTGGAAATGTAGTGTCGCTATGGAGGTTTACAGAGTAACTGTGTGTCTAACTCCTGCGAGTTTACAGAAACAACTTTTTACACACATGAACTGAAAAAGAACAATTTCATCAAGATCCGTGAATTAGTTCTGAGGAATCAGTGAAAATGTTTTTTTTTTTTAAAACAACTCGATAATAAAGAAAGGGACTAAAAATAATTCAGAATCCAAAATTTAAATTTAGTGAGAGTGTGTTTTTTAAAGACGACTGACTGAGGAACTGTGGGGACCAATCAAGTTTCAGTTTAGGTCAGCACCCCCCCCCCGGCCCACCCCTGGATAATCCTGTCCTTTCTGTTTCATGGCCTGAAGAAGATTTCAACACAAATGATCAACCAAACCTTCAAGCTGCTGCTTTTAGAAAAACCCTGTGTAAAACCCTGTCGAACTCCCCTCCCCCCCCCCCCCTAATGTTTACTGAAGATTTACAAATGAGAGCTTGACACACATCTCCTGCTGGGAAACTCCAGCTCATCACCAGCTAACTAGAGAAAACACAACAACCTCCTGTTCAGCGTCAGGAGGACTGAGTGTGTGCAGCGACGCTGAAGGTGAGCGTCGGATTATAAAACCCCCACGGCACCATGGGAAACAGGAAGTAGGGGGGGAAAAGAACCCAGTGCAAATTTGCTCTGTGAGAAAATATTAATCAGAGGAGTTGAATGAGAAGGACGAACGTTTACATTAGACAGTGGATCAAACTGTGTGTTTGCATGCACTGCCTCACACACGCTGCTGCACACTGCTCTGTAGTGGACATGTTTCAGTGAGAACAAACTGAAACGTGCTCAGTTTCTTTTACCTTCTTCGTCTGCGTGTTTGTCAGCCTCAGCACTGGGTTTGGTCTCTTTTTGCAGCCATCAAGGAGAAATACAGCAACTGGACGGAGTTCCTGGTTCAGGACCTGACGGGATCCAGGACGGCGCCGGCCAACCTGCTGGAGGGGGTGAGTGGTGATTAAGATAGAGTTGGTTCCTAAATCTGGGAAACTCTGTGGACAAGCAGGGGCTACGTGTGAGCATTCGAAAGAGCGTGAGAGAATACCTGAAAACTCTGTTCCTCCGTCAGCCTCTGAGAGGGAAGAACACGGTGGACCTGATCGTCGAAGGCTCCGTCTTGGAGCTTCAGGACGTCTGGGATCCGTTCCTGTTCTGGCCCGTCACAGTCGTCCAGAACGTCGGAGGGAGACTTCGCCTGCGCTGTGCCGGCCTCTCTGAAGACCACCAGGCTCAGGACTCATGGTTGTTCTACCTGGACGTCAGACTCCGGCCCCTCGGCTGGGCCCTGGAGAACCAGCTGGCCTTAGAACCCCCCACAGGTGAACATAAAATATTTCATCAGCCTGAGACGAATCAAAGGGAGGTTTTTTTTGGTCCCGTCATCTCGTATTAATTCTGAATATCTGACGTATCGAACATTTTCATCTCATCTCTTGAAATCCTCAGAGCTCAGGTCTCTGAAGAGCGCCCCCGACTGGCAGCAGGCTCTGGAGGAGGCGCGACTCCACGGACGGAAGAACCCGCTGCCGCTCGAGGTGTTCAAGGTGAGTAGGATCTCACACATCTCTGCCCTTCACTCAGCGTGTGTGCAGGGTCGGCACGGAGCCAGGCCGCGGGGTGACCTTGTTGTTTTGTCACTGTCGTTGATTTATGATGTGAAACCTGGAAAGTCTTTCATCAGAAGTTTTAAAATGACAAAGTTCTCTCTCGAAAAACTGGAAGGAGAATATTTAGTCCTGATTAAAGGTAGAACGTCCCACTGACCTGCCGTAACTTTTCACTGTATTTTCAAGGAAACTCTTAATTAAGAAATACTTAATACTAAAGTATAAATACAAGTATAGTGATGTAAAGTAATTATAATAAAAAAAATTTCCCCCCGATAGCCGTTAAGATGGTTTTACTCCTGCAGCAGAGTGAGCGACTGCATTTAAACAAACACTGGTGAACTTTGAGCCGAGCACAAGACAAATCTGACATGAATGAATCAGTAACACGGAGGAAAAAAAGAAAACGAAAACTGACTCCGACCACATCTGTCACACAGGAAGTGTTTATGAGACGAACATGAGTCAGGTCATTGTGATGAGGAGCAACGACAACAAAAAAACTCAATCAACAAAATACATCACAGCTCAATACGACAAAAGCTAAATAACTAATCATCCAAAGTACTTTTACTTTATTAATGTTGACCGTTGTTTTAAGGGATAAGTTACACTCAGCTCAAGTACTTTTACTGCTTTGAACACATGGGTGTTCCTGATATATTGCGTTCACAAGAACATGAGGTCATCGTAACCTTCAACCACCAAAATCGAATCAGTTCTTCTTAAAATCCAAAGGAACATTTGTACCAACATTCGGAGAAACTCCCTCAAGGTGTTTCAGAGATGTTGCGTTCACAAGATCAAAAATAACGTGATTCACAGCCGCCTGAAGTAAAATACTAAGTTTGGCCTGAGGGTCACCAGCACTTTGATATCAGACTGAATTAACCTCTGAAGCACTTCACATACATTCATTATCTGAATAATCTAAAAGTCTGGACTTCACTGTGTCAGGACCACGTGGACCTGCCCGAGCTTTCCTTCCGGACGGGGATGAAGCTGGAGATGGTGTCGCCGTGGGAACAGCTCAGGATCTGCCCCGTTTCCGTCACCAAGGTGAGTCCGACGGAGCCGTTCACGTTTTATCTACAGAAACGAAAACACCGAGACACTCCCCACATTCCTCAGCTGCCTTTATTAATCAGATTTCTGCAGAAGAAGCTGACTCGCTCGTCTGGCTTGTTTACGTTGCCGTGGTTCTTTTTTTTTTTTTGACGAGGGCGTTTCAGGGAACTTTACACTGAGTTCTGAAGTATTTTGTCTCGTGTGTCTCAGTAATTCTCACTTATCACGTCTGTGTGTTTTTACAGCGAATGATCGAACACTTATTTTTTTTAGCCTTTTTACGGATCGAGTTTTCTTCTGTTGATGAAAACGTTGCATCAGAGTGAAGTTCAAATCTTCTCCCTCCTCAGGTCTACGATAAGATCTACTTCCAGGTCACGCTGGACGACCTCTCTGTCGACGCCAAGCCTCGGTCCGTGGTGTGTCACGCCAACTCGCCCGGAATCCTGCCCGTCCAGTGGTGTCTGAAGAACGGCGTGGGTCTGGAGAGGCCCCCCGGCTACGAGGGCCAGGACTTCGACTGGGCCGACTACCTGAAGCAGAGCGGGACCGAGGCGGCGCCCGACGCCTGCTTCCCCGATGTAGGACCAGACGTTTTTTAAACTTCTGTTCATGACAGAGTCGTGTTCAGTTCTGATGTAAATGTTTTGCGGTTATCACGGTATCTGAGGAACATCTCATCCTGAGATACTTGTTTCAACACGTCGCTCTCTGATCTGGAAAATGTTCTGGAAAACTCAGTTCACGTCTGATGAACTGATTAGAAGAAGATATTTTGGGATCTTAACTGAGATTCCGGATGATGCAGATTAAAACACGTCCTTGTTTGATTTCTTTTGCAATTTACATCATATTAAGCTTGTTTTCTACTATTTCTTAGAATGTCTCCGTGGTGAACTGTAAAAAATCTTTCCAGAACTTTATCTGATCACGTCATCGCTGACAAACACTCATATATTAGACAGGTCCCAGCAAATCAAACCAAATCACACTGTGACCTCACAAGGTTTTTCGTTACACAAACTTAATTTTGTAATTGTGACGGAGACGTTAATGGACTCTTGTGTCTCAGTGAGACTCAATGAAGCTGCAGATTCGCTGTTATTACACCTAAAAGCTTTCAAGGGTAAAAATCAGAGTGAAAATCAGTTTGAATATCAAATAATCTGAGTTTAGCTTTAGGTTATCTCAGGTCAGAGCGCTGTCCTGAATGTAAAATAAAGTCTGCCTCTCTGTCTCCTTCTGTGTGTGTGTGTGTGTGTGTGTGTGTGTGTGTGTGTGTGTGCAGACATGGCAGAGCAGAGGCTTTGCCAAGGACATGTGGCTGGAGGCGGTCAACCCTCAGCGGCCGGTGGAGGTGTGTGTGGCTCAGATCACACAGGTCAGAGGACGCCTGCTGTGGCTCCGACTGGAAGGTACAGACACGTGT